CTCTGAGGCATCTACAAGAGAGTTTCGGCGGTTTTAACGTGACATGGTAAACACTGGAAGCTGTGGTCTCGGCGGACCAATTGGAGCGCATAGGAATTAGGCACGTGAGGACTTAATTCTGATATGGACATCGCATTAACGCCAATAAAGCACCTTTATCAAAGTCGTTTTTGTGCGTATCATCTGTATAAAGAGCTTTACTCCCAATACATCCTGTCCAATTTGGGGGAAATAAGTAAAGTATCTTTGAAGTAACTGTACCTGCACCTAGGCACATTTTTAAGCAAGTACTTAGGTACGTACCTAGGTACCTTGTCGTATGAGTAACTGTAACTGTATCTTAGGTACATTTTTGAAGTAACTTTTACAACCCTGGTTAGGATGACTGTTAAGGCCGGTTCAGACACGTGCGTTTGAGTGCGCTTGACTGTGTTGCGTCGAGAACCGAAAGCAAGTCACCGTCACATCTGTGTTTCATATGAAGCGTCGAATCCAATTCAAGGAATCATCTTGGCACGCGCTTTAAGCGGCAGGGATGTCCTGGTTTCACGCAGCCGCAACGCAGTCAAACGCAACTGTCTGAACCGCGCTTCAGTCTGGAGACGTCTCCACACGACTTCTTGCTTCTTGCTGAGCAAGGGGTCGGAAGCCGTGTAGGTTCGTCTTTCCCCTTTGTGATGATCGAGCACCTGTCGGTAAGTACAGAGGCGATCTTTGGAGTTGTCCGTGAAATGTGGGCCGCGTGTCGGGGGCTCGGTGAGATCTCGAGCAGCCTCGTTCGCCCGTTCGTTGCCCTCTAGTGCCGCGTGTGCGGCGTCCATATCAGGGTAGTTCTGGCGTTATGGTTCGTGTTCCGGCGGGTAAGGACCCTTAGCGCCGCGCCGGAAATTCTTCCTCGTGCAAAGTTGCGGATCGCCGGCGGTGGCCCGGCCGGCGTTAGACTTAAGGCGGGAACACATTTGCGAAAAACAGCCGAATTTTGTGCGAAAGGCTTTTCCCCTTTTCCGAAAATCGGGTGCGGTTCGAGAGATCTGCAGCGCCAGATATTTTCGCACGGCGCTTGCGAATTCGGGGTGGAGGAGCTCGGTAAGCGAAAGCTTGGAGCAGGACGGAACGACAAGATACGTTCGGCTCGCAACATGGCGGCTCAAGCAGCGTCGGAAGCAGCGCAAGCGTTCTCATCTCAACCATCATAGGAAACCCCTTATGTCTCTGTCTCAAAGAGTGGTGGTTCAAAGGCTCGCGTGGCATTCAACGAGCTTTTAATAGCTGAAGTTCTTAAGAGGCGCGAAATATGGGACGGCAGTTCGCCAGACTACCGGAACAGACTCGTGAGGTCGGAACACTGGAAGGCTATAGCAACAGTGCTGGGATCAAAAGGTGAGGTTTTACGCGATGCATGCAGTTGTGCAAGTTTCGACAAACACGTACAGACAAGCCAATTCTTCTTTTCGTCTGTGCATGCTTGGCAGCGACCGGCGTTTCTCGTCGGAGTTATCACTTATTTGACACGCACTACGTACTACGTGGTTGCTCTTCAACATCCCTCGCGGGCATTATGCCGCTTAGATCTTGCTTTGAAATGCACGCTCTCGAACCAACTTGATGCGCTCGTGCAACTTAAAGGTCTAAAGCAACTGCACGTGAAGCGGAGTTCCGACCACTTTTGTTAAAAACAGAAGCCTAATTGTTTGTTGCTGCACTTTGCTCGCCGCTGGTTAAAGGAGGTGTAGCGACTAGTCGTTGTGTCTCAGTGCATCATTAACTGAGCAATATAATACCGTAGTGCAATTATAAATTCCGGGCCAGAGAAACGCAGCTCTTGTTGGCAGTGTAAATAAATTATTAAAAGTGTGTATTTTTTATTACAGTCCAGGACGTAGAAAGCAGATGGCGTAACCTCAAAGATACCTACGCCAAAAAACTCCGCGACATATCGAAGCTGGAAAGCATTGGAGCGGCTGCACCACGAAAGGAGGTCCGCTGGGTGTACTTCGAACAGCTGAAATTTCTAAAAGATACTGTGAAGATGCGACCGTAAAAAACGATTTCGGCTATTTTGTTTTATTTAAAGGCCCCATATACTCCACCTCCAGAGCTCTGGGTAATGGTGAGGGAAGCGCAGGATGGTTTACAAAGTACTTTTGAAAGAGCAGGCTTCCACAATTGTGCCTTCTCAAAGGTGGATATATAAGTCACAGTAGGCTGTATCTAACCTACAGAAATAGTAGTAAGCAAATAAAGCAGCACATACATATTAAATTTACTCCTCATTAATACTGCCTTGGAGCGACGTCCACCGACGTGACAGACAGCGGTTTCCCCAGGAATTGATATCAGCGCGGTGTCTAAATTTTCTTGGGGGTGGGGCATTGACAAGGGGAGTCGTTGCAAATTAAGGGGGTGCCTTCAGAAAAACGATGGGGGGGGGGGGGGTACGCCCCCCTTAGGTGTGTGTAGGGAGACCACTGGTGACAGGTTAAAAACGACAAGGGGAAGGAAGCACGGGGAGAAGAAAGCAGACAAATTGATTGTGCCTTTTCCTTTCATATTCGCAGCACATCAAGCAGCATATCACTAGATAGTCAAGGAGACTGCACACAAGGCAGTGCCACTGAAGAGGACACGCCACTAGTTCTACAGTGGAACATCATTGACGAAACCGGCTCCCCATCCACTCCAGACGATGTGGTGCTTTCGACGACTTCCGCAGCTCTTTCCGACCCATCACATGTTGTTGAGGAAGTGCCATTGGAAGTGCTGCATGTGCCATTGCAAGCAAGTACGGCTTCACACCCTACGCCGTCACAAAGGTTGCCACGACAGCCCGTTCAGCAGGGAGCAAGGCCTCCCAAAAAGAAGTCCCGAACGGACCAGCAATGAACGCAGGTTGTCAGAGACATTGACCAGGAGCTCAAGAACAAACCTGATGAGTGGGATTTTTTTTTTAAGGGACTCAAAAGGCATACCAAAGCTATTCCTTGCTGCAACGTGGTCGATTGTCAAGTTCATATCTTACAGGTCATGAAGGCCTACTCTCGGAGAGTCGTGCCTAAGGTCCTGTCGGACCTCGAGATTAACTCATATGGAGGTCGAACCGTCGAGCCCACCTTAATTGAAGACTAAGAAGAGAAATTTTGAGTTGCATTCCACGAGTGTGTGAATTCCAATTTTTGGTAATGCTGTGATATTTAGCTTTTTTTATTACTTGGTCTGTGATATCTTTTTTTTAACCTTGATGCTCGGTCAGCAATACTTTTTTAAACTTTGATACTCGGTCAGTTTCATATTTGTTTGTAGTTTCCATACTTTGTCAGTGATATTGTTGAACCGCCGAGCCCACCTTAACTGAAGACTAAGAAGAGAAATTTTGAGTTGCATTCCACGAGTGTGTGAATCCCAATTTTCGGTAATGCTGTGATATTTAGCTTTTTTTATTACTTGGTCTGTGATATCTTTTTTTTAACCTTGATGCTCGGTCAGCAATACTTTTTTTGAACTTTGATACTCGGTCAGTTTCATATTTGTTTTTAGTTTCCATACTCTGTCAGTGATATTGTTGAAATAATATTTTATATATTGCTGTAAGTTTACGAAGGAAGCTTTCAATTGCCTCATATCAGCTGTTGAAATTAGTGCTTTGTTTATTTCTCAATTTACGAAAAAAATTCGGCTAGCTTTATGACGACATCAGTGCTTTGTTTTGTCACTCAGTTCGTGACGTATTGTTTTTTTAGGAGGAAATATCTTGTATGCGACAGTTTAAAAATGTTTATTTGGTGAATTTTTAATTACAGTGTTTGAATTTCTCTCCTGGAGTCTTTCTGTTACGGTTGTGTCTTCTTCCATGGGAGCTGGCCCGGTGCACTCAAAAAGTAAGCCGTAAACAGCTCCCTTACAGCCTTTGCACTCTCAGCAAGGTTTCTGGCATGAGTACAGCCTAAGGACGTTAGGCCGCTGTTTTCTTGCTCAGTGCGCCAAGCACCGTCGATCTCAGTTCCAGATGGAGTAACATGGTCTCCATACCCATGTGGGCAGTTGAAACTGTCTTCTTGACCTGCTTTGGATGTCAGGTAATTATGTAGCACACAAGCTGCCAGAACCAGGAGCTCATCATTTTTGGGAGACTCCGCCAGAGGTCTTCGGAAACCCGCCAGCGGGACGAGAGAATTCCAAATGCGTTCTCCACGCACCTCCCTATATGAAACATGAAACACTAACAATAGGATTAGAAGCTGCTCTGCAATATAAAAAACACTTCCAGTGGTGCCCTGCTAGATATTTCAGATTGAATGGCAGCTGGAGACATAACGTTTATGCATAGTTCTCGACTATTGCAGGGATATCTCATGAGCTCCCCCTTCAGCAGTAAATTGAACTTGGCTAATGAGAATGCTCAACATGCATTCTGGTAATTAAGGTGCTTTGAATGTTTTAGAACCAGGACACCTAAAAAGCATCTCATGTATAACTTCCTCTGCTTAATATCTGGTTGAAGTTGTCTTTTGCGTTTTCAAGGTCCTGCCCCGGGTAGGCTCTCATGAAATCATCCCGGAGCTGAAACGCCTCTTCACCAATAAATACACGCGGTGCGACCACATTTGAGCCCGGTAGCAACTTCGAGCCCGGTACCTGCAACAAGCCCTTCTTCATGGCAATGCCAAAGTTGGAATTTTTCAGCACTCCGCCGTCACTGTTTCTGCCATATGCCCCCACGTCCACAATAGTGAAGCAATAGTGAGCGTCTGCAGAAGCCATGAGCACGATAGAGTGCGTTTTCTGAAAACAAAACACCAGGAAATATGAAGTTCGGTAATTTTTGCTTTCATCTAACTCAAGATGAGAACCACATAAACAACATGCCATAATTGGTCCTGGAGCGAGGAAAAGGGGGGATGCCACACAAAATGCAAAAAAGGGGAAGTGCACGATACGCGCATAACACACTATGGCCATACATGTTATTAATGCTTGAAAGGTTCTATTAAATGTAAAGATTATCACACCTTGTAATTGAAATATAGGGAGCCACTCCTAACAGGTGCCTGCATCTGGACATGTTTTCCGTCAACCGCTCCGACGCAGTTTGGAAATTGCCAGAGTCTCTGAAATTCCATAGCGATGTCCTGCCATACCTGAGTGTTGGGAGTCTGGATTGATTAAAGCAATGTGTCAATAGGATACCAATATACAAAGAATAGGCACAGACCGGCATGTAGAGTGGCCTCAGCCTTTCCCACAGACTCTTGCATGTGTCGACAATGGCAGCTCTTGCAGTCGATATGCCCACACGGAAGGCCAGTGCAACATCCTTTACAGGGTCTCCTGACGATAGGTACCTGGAACGAATGCAGCAGAGGGAGCGTTGCGTAGGCACATAATATTGCAAATCAAAGGGTAGATAAGATATAAAACACTCAACCTGGTAAGCTATTGCATGAGAATTTATGTCACCCTTACCTCAGCGTCATGGCCAGCCGCTCCGATGCACTAATTGGTTCCCTGCACACATAGGAACATCTAAGGTCGTCTTCTACAAGTTTGAGCACGTAATCATACTTTTGCGGGGTCATGCGGTAGAATTTATTAAAATAGTCAAAATCCCCTGCCCGCATAAGCTTCATCTGAAAGAGATAACCACGACATTCTGTGGTAAGAACTAGCTGCTACGTTATCCAAGGTACCCCTTAGGGCTATTAAATCATATTTGGGGCATCGAAAGCAGCACATACATATTGCCAGCTATTTTTCTGTAACTTACCCTATTACGTCTGGAGTCCCACAGGTTAATATTCTCGGCTACCTTTATCTCAACATGTACATAAATGATATTGTTTAATATAAACTCTGTAACAAACTTTAGTATTTCAATAAATGGTATTGTCTTTTTCAGCTGCAAATGGGAATCAATTGATAGACAGGGCAATTTTTCCCTTAATGCAGCTTGAAGATTGGGTGCTGTGCAAATGCTTGACAATTAATAATAGCAAAACAAAAGGCATATCGTTCCGACTAAAAGGTAAGAAATAAATAATTAACCAAAAGCATTGTAATAAATCCATGCCTGCTATTAAATCATATTTGGGGCATCGAAAGCAGCACATACATATTGCCAGCTATTTTTCTGTAACTCACCCTATTACGCCTGGAGTCCCACAGGTTAATATCCTCGGCTCCCTTTATCTCAACATGTACATAAATGATATTGTTTAATATAAACTCTGTAACAAACTTTAGTATTTCAATAAATGGCATTGTCTTTTCAGCTGCAAATCGGAATCAATTGATAGACAGGGCAATTTTTCCCTTAATGCAGCTTGAAGATTGGGTGCTGTGCAAATGCTTGACAATTAATAATAGCAAAACAAAAGGCATACCGTTCCGACTAAAAGGTAAGAAATAAATAATTAACCAAAAGCATTGTAATAAATTCATGCCTGATATAAATTAGAAGTTCCTTTAAGACCATAGAGGTTAAGGGCTCGTCAAGCTGTTTAGAGTTTTTTTTTCTTTGACCTCCTTCATTGATGCATTATCGAACGATAATAAATTTATTATTATTCTTGTCTCTTTGACGAACGCACGTGCAAAGCGGAATTTGTTTTAGACTTTTGCTTTAAACAAATCACCGCCGGAGACGTCAGCACGGCGAGCGCGTGTGCCTACAAATCCAGCAAGCTCCTTGGTGCTTGACTAAATTAGCAAAAGGTCTATTTACATGCCCACATAAAGGTTGTACATACCGCAGTGAAGAATTCGCTTTCTTGCCGTCTTTTCTGCCACAGGGGACGCACCCACCAGCGCCTTTTCATTGTTTGAGGCTTCCTCATCAGTTGAAGCACGATTAGCTTCTTCAACAATAGAAGTCGGCGACGGCGATCAGGCATTGCGGACTTCACAAGATCGGCGGCCTTTTTGTATTTCGCGCGGGAAAAAGAACGAAAACCGCAGTGCATTGCGATTTCCGCGCTGCGCATTCAACCTCATGTGGCTCGTCTTCCAAAAATCGCAAGCTACGATTTTCGCAGCCTCCGATTTCCGTCCGATTTTCGGTTCGTTTTTTCGCAAACGAGTTCCCGACTTTAGCGCTGCATGCGGTCGGCTGGCACTGGTCGAAAGGTGGTGTTAACTCACTGAAAAAGACAGTGGTGGTCCAATGGGTGATGTCCGGTGGTGCGCGTTTTCCTTAGAGAAAGGTATCCACACCAGAAAGGCACTTGTCTCGGAAATTTCCGTTGGGAGAGATGGAAAAACACGGAGCCCATACAAACGTGCGTTCGCCCTACTCGCTCCAAAATCAGCCCATCACGATTCTTGAAGTGTTTTCATTTTTTTCATGTGTCCGAACCCCAAACGGTGCGCTTGGCCAAAGGTTTTTTGTCTTTTGTTGTTTTCTTGATGGGGTCGTTTTCTTTGAGGACACGTGCGTTTTAAAACAAGTCAAGCAACCTTTTAATCGGATTTAGAAATACACTGCCATGTTTCTTATCCTGCATGAGCTTGCGCGCGCATTTTGAAACGGATGCACAAATTGAGTTAATTTGCTGTAATCACGTGTACCACCAAACCCTAACCTTATTTGGCTCTTCGCCCCTGCCCTGTGATATAACAACTCTTCCACGTGGCTTTGAAGAACAACAAGCAGTTTTAGCCATGGCCGTGGGTTGTACCGTGCGGAATTCTTTTTCATGCGGCCTGTACTGTCGTAGTATAAAGCATGCACATCCTTCTGCGTGGGAGTCGCAGCGGCTCAAACATTTTCGCTCTTGCACGCTGCTGCTCAACGGGTTCTGTTTCGCAGTACCCTTTGTTAGGCAGATACAACGGGTACTGCGGCAGTGCAGGAATGTGAAAAACGCTCACGCACGTATACGAAAACCTGCGCAACGATTTGATGGAACAATCATTTGTTTTTCTTGTTATTTATATTTTCAAAACTTCTATAGCATATTTCTCACATCCGCACCCACACCCCGTGTCTTCGGCATAACAATCGAAACCTTGGTATAGCAGGGAATCCGACAACAACAAACGCATGGGCCTATCTTTCCAGAAACTGCATTGTGTTTCGCAAAGGCTTCTGTGGAGAAATGCGTCTTTGCAAATACCGATCGCTGTAAGTACCATGCGCTGGAGGTGAAAAAAATCATACACAGTGCGTTTCGCCAACAACTGAGAATAATTTAGAAAAATTATACTTGAAATAAAGAAATTACTCCTACAGGATAGCGTTGTCGAACATAGAGGACGTCGAGAAATGACCGAAAAATCATAATTATGAATTCGGTTACCTACGCTTCGTTTCACTGTAAGTGCAGATGGAGCAGATGCTACGAGCTCATGGCACCAAACATTCAGCGTCAAAAGCGCACAATCACGGTGTTCGTCATGTTTTTGTGCGTGTTCTATCACTGCTGAACCAATCATAAACAAAAAAGGCCCAATGAGTTCCGGTTTTGGCTCTGTTTGATATGTCCCTTTAGCTCGTTGCGTCCGCTACGTCTGGACTTAAGCTAAAACGAAGTATCATATCCACTTATTATTATTTTTTTATTATTCGCCTTACCTGGTGTAGTTCAGTTAGAGAATGCGTGCTCGTTATCCACAGTGTTGCTGAAGTTGTAAATAGCCAGAAAACAAAATTCTTCTCCGTGCAATCCAATGGCGAAGTTAGGCTGTCTATAGTCACCGACAATATGAGAAAGGCAGGGGGAGGGGGCTTCAGTTGCTTTGCCACCAGCGCGAGTTTCCAACCTTTGACAGCGCTTCGGAGTCTCGTGCAACCACTGCGCGCGCACTTGCAGCCAAAGCACAACGGGAGGCATCAAGTCGTGCACCGTACCAAAACGGGCAAGGGGGGGGGGGGGGGGGGGACGCTATAAGCTGAGAACGCGAGGAGACATAAGAGTGTGCTGAGCCTTTTTTTACTGCCAGGTGATTTTTGGATAACATGCCGCTGCACAAACGTTTCGCGATGTTACCCGCGCCTAGCTATAGGCTGCGGGCTGACGCCACTCAACTTCCGGGTGGGACTTCTGTCGTTCTTTTTAGTTTTAGCTTCGGTATCTTGGTCTCATCACGACTCCGATTATCAGGAACTAGCGGAAAGCACAATTCAGTTGTCTAAACTCTGACAACAGCTAAGCCATATTTGAACAAGGGACGTCCAATTCCTAACTGGAAGGGGCCAGGTAATACAAATATATCAAAGTTTGCGAACAAATTATAGGCCATACTCCGCTAACTATCGCTTCACACTCGTAACCTCATGTCCTCCGCGGTCAATAATCTGACTATTCCGCAGGAATGACTTAATAATAATAATAATAATAAGTTTATTCACAAAGAAAGCATACATACAATATACTTAGTCTCACTTGTGCGTGAGTACTTACAGTCCAGCATGGGATGAATTTAACAAATCGGAACTATGTAAAACTAAATTGATACACTGATTGGAGTCCTTTTTATGCGGAACTCAACAGAAGTGAAAGAAAACAAATGGTTCATCGCCTTAACAATATACAAGCACAAATTTTTAGGCCAGTAAGCATGAAACGAAATTACCTCTTTTCATACAATATTAGTAATGATTTACATAGATTTTGTAATACCACAAATGACACAGAATAATAAACTCTAGCTTTTAAAATCATGGCAATACAAACAGTCGCGAAAAGAACAACAGTGAATGCAGGCGTGCAAAAGGAATGCGAAAATACATTAGGGACGTGAAGAAAGAAAAAAAGAAAAAAAGGCATGGGTCTGGGAGCTCTCTATTCTTCTCCTGGCGTACTGCACCATTTGCGCATTTCTTTTTTCACCTGTGCTAAGGATTGCAAATTAAGTAAACCATCGGGAAGATTATTAAAATATGTTGGTACATAATACTCCCTCAACCTTTTCGCATAATTAGTGTATACTCTTGGTATGTGAAATCTCTCTGTGTGCCTTAGTTGTTTTTCTTTAGCGGATGGTATTTTGAAATCGTGTGTGAAATAATATTTTGTGAGGACCATTAATTTATGCAGGTCATTCACTGTTAGCAATTGGAGTTCTGACAGCTGTTCTTGAAACGAAAGACTTTCTAAGTGTGTACCATACGTCATGTTTTGTATCATTTTTTTAATTAGGTTATTTATTTTCTGCAGTTTGTATTCGGATGAAAGTGCATATATGTGGATACCATATCTTAGTTTTGATTCACCTAACATCTGATAAATCAATCGCCTTAGATTAATACTTGCAGAACTTCGGAGTTTATAGAGGTATGAAGAAATTATTCGCAGGTGTTTGAGTAGGTAGTCAATATGATGATTCCAAGATAAATACTCATCAAAGTGTATACCAAGGTACCTAGTTTCACTGGCGTAAGGTAGTGGTAAGCAAGAACATTGTCTACATTCCGATGAATGCAAAAAGATGGGTTGATTAAGGTTAATTCGTTTCTGGTGAGTTCGAAAGCACACGAGGTTCGATTTATCATTGTTCACAAAAATATAGTTTTTTGAAAACCAACTCATAATTTGTTTGATGTCATCCTGTAAAATTGAAACGGCAGTATTATAATCTTTGTGTGTAATAACCAAGGCTGTGTCATCGGCGTATTGATACATTTTTGATT